AGAAGTCACTAAAGAGAATGAGAGTAAACAGGTAGAATTCAAGAAGGGGAAATAAGGAAATTGAAAAGAAATGAAAAGACAAAAGAAAAAAGTAGAAAAGAAAAAAATTTAAAAAAATAATAAAAAAAATAAAAATAAAAAATAAAAAATAATAATAAAAAAATATTTTTAAAAATTTAAAAAATGAAAAAAACAATTTTAAAAATGCAGTCTTAGAGTTTGATTAACTTCTCTCCAAGTAGGTGGAGCTGTGCCCACTGGGCCAAGCTTCTCCTCTCAATACGCAGGAACCAATCACCGTGCAGCAGCTCCTCCTCCCCGACTGGGCGGGTCTCCAATACTGAGTGCCTAGGGCCTTTTCTTGTGTCTAGTCACTTCCCCACTTTTCCTCCAGCCAGGCCCCACTCACCGGTGATGCTCACCACAATACTGGCTACATGCCAGGTCTGCTGCTCCCTGGAGCCCTATTTTCTTGAATGATTGGGCACACTCTCCCTATTTGCCATTCCCTCAGACCCTAAGTTTGTGGAGCTTGGGGCTGAGAACCCTCAGGGTATTTTGCTTGCCTTCCGGTAGCCATGCGCCCAGTAGCTGGTGCAAGAGACCTCAGTTGTCAGCACTGGTGGGAGTGGTAGCCTGGGGTCCCCCGCGGCGGGTCCCGCGCCACTCCTGATTCCCTCGGTCTGACCTTCGCGCTCACGGGAGAGCTGGGAGGGGCCCTTGAGGTTTCCCCGCTGTGTGTAGAGGGAAGGTTAGGGGGTTACACACCTGCCACTGCGGGTTTCAATGAGGTTATCTCCTCCACCACATTCTTGTGACGTCAGTTTTCTGCCATGGTGGTATCCCATGCGAATGGCGACAGTTCGTTCCCTTTGCTGGGTGACCGATGCAACGGGTGGGTCCTGACTGGCTCTCCCAAGCCCTGTCTCAATCCTGTGGCCACTGCCTATGAAGGCTCGGTTGGTATTTACCTCCGCAGGTTCAGAAGGGCTGACCAGTTGTTTCAGCAGGATCGTTTAGCGCTGAGTCACAGTGGTTTGTCTCCGAGATGCAGGCAAACGGGAGCTTGAATTCAGCTGATCTGGGCTCCGTGTGTGTTCTGAGAGGTGCAAACTGTTCGCCCCAGATCCATGTCAGCTCAGCATTGCCTAGTAATCCTGAGCAAACAGCATTTAGATGGTTTAAGACTCCCTATGCCCGCGCAGCTGAAGAGGTCAGAGACTTGATCTCTCCGTGCCCACCACCATGTATTGTTCCCAAAAAGTTGATGTGCGTGAGACAATCCAAGAAATTTCAGAGGTGAAATGATTGGGTTATGATAATATTAACTAATTGGTGCATAAATCCAGTTGAGTGGATTAACTGGGTGGTAACTATAGTTGAGTAGCATGTGGTTAGAAGAGATAGGTCACTGGTGGTATGCCTTTGGAGATTATATTTTGTCTTGGTGAGGAGAGTGTTTTCTATGTCTCTCTCTCTCTCTCTCTCTCTCTCTCTCTCCCTCCCTCCCTCTTTTGTGCCATGTTCCTGGCTAATACTTTCCTCCACCATATTCTTCCACCATGATACTTCAAGGAATGGAGTCAGCCACCTATGGACTGAGAACTCTGAAACTGTGAGCCCTAAGAGCCTCTAAATTTGTTTTTGTTGGGTATTTTAGTCACAGCACCAAAAAAGCTGACTGAAACAATGCCAAATAGCCTCCACTCAGCAAGTCAAAAACAGACTTCTTGATTTTCTCAACCACATTTCTCCACTTCTTCTCTAATTGTCTTCCATCTTCTATAGTGAATTAAGTCTGGAGTCTAGTCATATTTTGGGGTTAGAAGCTTATATCCTCTTTGATTCTTCCATTTCTCTCACTAGAAGCTCTATAATAATGGAAAATAATCTTAATCTCCAGAAGTTCTTGATTCCTCTACTTCTAAAACATTCCCCAAATCCATCTCCATCATTCCATCTCCATGATATTTACTTACTTTATACTCCTATCATTTTCTTCTGGGATACTTCAATAGGCTGAAAATGGTCCTTGTTACCACTCAGTGGAGAAATAAGACATTTAAAAGGCAAAGTAATAAAATTCCCATTTGTGGGGATAAATGCATGGAGTACTGCATACATCACATACATTAAGGGCATCTGAGTGGCAGGCCACTTCCCTCATGCTAGGCATGTGAGTGGAAAACTGTTTACCCTGTAGGCACAGATCTGAGTTTGAGGACTTAGGTGTGAGGCCTGTGCTTGCTCCATGGCCCACTCCTCAATTGGTTGCTGCAAGGACAATTATCAGAAATTGCATTGGTGGCTACCTGTAATCTACTTAGCTATTGCCCGAGTATAAATACATGGTAACTGTGCAATAAAATCAGACCTGCTTCCTGCTTGGTCTCTGGAGAACTTGTTTAGTGACTCCACAGCCACACACTCCTCTACCCTGTTTTATGGACCTCCTTGCTGGACAAGAGAGAGCCCACACACCCATTAAATTTAAAGGCTGGGAATTGCAACAAGAGTAACTTGGGTAGAGGTACCATTAAATAGGGAGTCAGGGAAGAGATGTTTCAGAAGGAAAGATTTGAATCTGAGTACCTAGAAGTGGGGCTGAACAGTGTACAGGGAAAAGAAATAGGCAGAAGGAAGAGAAAATGTAAATGCCATGTGGTAGAATCCAGCTAGATGTTCTGAAGACTAGCAGAGAATGGAGAAGTAGGTAGACAAGGTGATGAAGGGAGGCAGGAACCATATTGCAGAATGGCAAGACTTGAAAAAAACTCAGGGTTTTATTCCATGTATGACAGAAAATCACTGGATATTACCTGGGTAAGAAAAGCAGAAAATTTTCAAGGTTGAGAAGACACAGGTCAACATAATGTGTGGATGAAATGTGTGTTATTAACGCATGTCAAATGCTAGCTGCAAATGTGAGCTACACATTCTCTAAAGTTTTCTAAGAGAATCTGGGTGGTTATTTGTCAGGAATGCAGAGGTCCCTTCATTTGATAGGGGTGTTGAACTCCATAACTTCTGGTACTAGAAGCAGAGAGAGGTGGGGGGGGGGGGTAGAAGGTAGTTGAATAATTGACACCAAAGAGCAAGTGGATGGCAGTAATAAATTCTAATGTTCTACAGCAAAGCTGGGTGACTATACTTCACAATAACCTATAGTATATTTTATGCATCACTAGAAGAGAGGAGCTTGAAAGCTGTATACCAAAATATTGATAAGGAGATGGAAATAAACGTTCATTACCTGGATTTTATCAGTATATATGGTATACTCATAATGAAATATCACATAGTACTTCATACTACAATTATTATGTGTTTATATATATTTTTAAATGTTTAAGGTGATGGAAATATTAACCATATTGTTGTGATAATTACACACTGTTTGTATGTATTTAATGTATATAAACACACCAAATTAATGTACTCCCTAAATTTGTGAAGTAAAATAATTAATAAAGTAAGTTTCTTTACTGCCTTCCATCATTTACTACTTTAGATCTGAAAGGGCCATCTTACAAATCTCTGTCATCAGTACTAAAGTTAATACTTTTACAACTGATTTCCTAGCTGCTACTATTGCCTTCTATCAAATTATACTCCTAATCCAATAGTCACATCCCTACCATTGTTACATCCCTTATTAAGCATTTCACTGAAATTTACATTAAACATAAAAGTGTAGATAACAAATGTTTACAAGTTTAATTATTTTCACAAAACCACTCTATCTATTTAACCAGTCCTAAACCAATAGAACATCAGTCTCATGAAGTACTTGTTGTTCTCAAACATTCTCCTGGACACCATTCTCACCAAAGATATCTAATATCATGAACTTTAATGCCATATATTATTCTGTATGCTTTGATCTTCATGGAACTTGAAATCATGTGTTATGTAGTCCTGGGTTATGTAATATTGCTCCAGTTATTGCATGTGGCAGTAGTTTGTTCTTTCTTGTGGCTCAATAGAAATTTATATGAATATAGTATATTTTTATTCTACTGTTTATGGATAGTAACCTGAATCTATGCTCAAAGAAAACTTACTTATTCGTATTTTTCACTTAATGGTATTGTTTATTCATTCTCCAGTATAAATTGGTAGTACAGAGACTTGAAAACCAGGGGAAAATGAACTCTCTGATCTAGAAAGCCATACAGGCACCCAATTATCTGTTGTATGCTCAAAGTCACAATTTTGAACTGAGAATACTAGGTGGCTTTCAGAATCAGCACCCCCATCAGTGTTCCTGTGGGAGACATGCATGGATGAGAGCCATGGTTGACTGCCTTCTGTAGCTCTGCCAGGGAGCTAGAAGCCACAAACTTCTCACCTCCAAGTTTCATCCTCCTAACTTCTTAATAATTAACTTTTCTGGTTACAAATGTTACCTATTAAAGTCATTTCACAAGGACCAGCATCCAGGTTACAGGTCCAGTGACTTACCATCCCATCAGGGCCACAGTGCTACTCAATCCTCAGATTCATATTTTATAATGATGATTACCTCTGTATGTGTGCCTACACTGCATGTGTGAAATGATGGCCAGTATAAAAGTATCTATGCTCATTTATTTTACAGGATCTAGATGGTTCAGAATATTGCCAAGACCAGGAACATACTTTTAATCATGGAAGTGCCTTCTCCCTGACTCTCCTTTCTTTCCCTTTGTTGAACTAACTGTTAATCATACACCTCACATTCTGGATTTGCTCTGAAAATTGCTCCCTGAAACTAGTATGATAGACATACCCTTTTCTGTCCTCCTTAATGCAGAACAATTAATTTTTCACAACAAATTTTTACTTCCAGTGTATGTATTAAGCGCTAATACTTAGTTTCCTGGAGTCAGAAAGTGAGTCCAGTACACAGTTCAGTGTAAAGCACAGAGACCTTATCAAGATTTCATAAATAAAGAAATAAGTATGTACTGAATACTTAATTTTACCAACAGTCCAAAAGAAAGTGAGGTGACACTCACCTGTCTGAAAGAAGGCTATATATCAGACTTCCCAACAGTGACCCAGTCATAAACAGAGTTTGAACCACTGATTTTAATGACTGGGATTCACAAACCAGGTCCCACTGGAGGAAAATAAAAAAGCACAGTGGAGTTTTAGAAGGTTTTGAGCCTTTAAAATCTTTGCAGTCAGTGAAAACAGAGTGCAAACTCCCACATATGATCTCTGCTTTGTGGATCCTGCCCAATATCCAGCTTCACCTACAGTCACTCTCCCCTGGTCGCCCTTCCTCACTTATTTTAGCGCTTCAAGTGCACTTGCCTCTCTCTTGCCTAATAACCTTCCAATATTCTGCACCTTTTTTCTTCATGTCTTTATTCATATTTAGCTTCAGGCCGCCAACTCTCTTTATTCCATTACACACATTCTTCAGCTACTATAATTAAAACATATAAAAATACAGTTACCAAAAATTTTTAAACCCTATCTTTTTTTCTCATCATGTAAGTGACTTAGGGTCTTGCATTGACTTTTCTTAGCAGTCCATACTTCAACTACTACAATATCTCTCATCCTCAGCCACACATTGAATCACTTATAGAACATCAAAAAATTAGTGTTTGGATCCTATGCCCAGATTTGCTCTCAGGGTCAGTTTTTCAGCAAGTATTGAGAACCACTGACAGTGTAACATTTGAATACTTTTAAAATTATAGATCTTTCTCACTAGATTAAATGATAATTATAGGTATATGTTTTGTTTGTTCAATTCATTAACTCCAATACTGTACATTCTCCACAGCATCGAAGAGTAAGTAGATAAGCAATTGCTACCTGCAGAAGGACTAAATGTATAAAGCAAGCTTTTTCTTGGTATTACCTCCAAACTCTTTGATCATACAAAGAGTATATTTGGATGAGGCACCTTACCTCAGTTATGATGGTGGAGGGGAAGTAGCTTCTGTCATACACCCAGCCATCCACACAGGGCTCTGTGTCTGCCTCAGCTGTGTTGGTGACAGTTTCATTCATATGGAGGAGCTGCCACTGGGGATGGATGAAGCGATGGCATTTCTCTGGTTTCAGGTTTGAGTCCAGTGGAATGGAGATCCTCAGGAGGGCATCTTGGCTGAGATTTCTGGTTTCATTACCAGAGATAGTGTCATTGTCGAGAATCTGGACCCAGCAGCGATGATCAGGAATTGCTGCAGTGAAATTCTCCAGTACAATGTGTGGGTATGTTAGGAGGTTGGTGATACAAAAGAGAACTAGCTGAAAGATTTGGAATCTCCCCAGGCCTCCAGCTTGATCCAGGAGCTCTTCAAAGGGCATTTAGGCTGAACAGGGGATCACCTTAAGGAACCACTTTATGAAGGCAAATTCGGAAAGAGAAAATGCTTCCTTTTCCAAGACCTATAATGTGTTGATCCTCATTCAACTTTCTCCTTGATGGGCTGTGACTCACTGCTGCAGAATAATGGGTTTAGGCAGGCAGATTGTTTCAATAAAGCTACAGAAATATTTGGCAAAGAGACTTCTACTTGCTGACAACTGAACCTGCTTAAAAGATTACTCTGTGAATGATTCTGATCTTTGAGCTTTCTGAGAAGTCAACCATGGACTTTCAGTGGGTGTAATCTCCACATGACCCTAAATATACCTTTCAATGATCTGTCCTTTTTAGAAAAGGAATGTTGGAACCTCAAAAGTAAAAAGCTTTCTGATATTACTGTGTAAAGAATAGAGCATGGCTTTTCTTAGTTAGGACTGAATTTTCACTAGAAGTTACTGATAAATATTCTTGGTTAAAATAAAGGAAAATGAGATATTGAATGTAAATGCTGACTGTTGGTAACTGAAATTCATTCTGTTTCAGTTTAAATAGTGACAGTGATTTTAAAGTTTTCAAAATATGGAAACAAGTATAAGGGACAGGGAGGAAGGAAACAGTACTTTTATGCCATAGTTTATTTTGTCAGATTTATTAATTTATTCAAATAGCATTTTTGGCCTTTTATATCAGTATATTTATGTGCTTAATTACAAATTTGGAACCAGTATATGAGTTTGCTGTTAGAAGGTCTTATGTTCCAGTTAGTGAGAGATAGATACATAAAAAATTTCACCGAAAATGTTTAATGATTCCTTGGTAGAATGGGACAGGAGAGTCATCCCTCTAGAAGTAAAACTTTGAACTTGTGAAGGAGAATTCCTGAGACAATGAATGATTAAAAGAACAGTTTCTGAACAAGAAAGTACATAATTATAAGTACCTAATTATTCTAAAAAGGTTTGACATAACTGTACCTGCAGGATATTCCAAAGGTGAAGAACATGCAGGGTAATAATAGGAGGAGTTGGACTGGTTGAACAAAACCAAAACAAGCAACCAAACAGAATATCTGGAATTAATTATGCAAACTAGAGGTTTTTATTCTTTAACTTTAAATCCATCACCTGTGCAACATCTTAAAATGCAGATTTCTGTCCAGAATGCACAAATTCTTTCAGGAAATGACTTTTTGAGAATTTAAATGAAATGTTTTAAGTCATATATAAAAGCATTAATAATGTACCTATTTTGTGTACCCTTTTGTGTTTTGACACATGTATACATTGCATGGTATTTAAATCAGGCCAAACATCTGTTTCCTTAAACATTTACCATTTCTTTTATTAAAAATATTTTTAGTTGTGATGGACACAATACTTTTTGTTTATGTAGGTTTTTTTAATGTGGTGCTGGGGATCAGCCCCAGTGCCTCACACATGCCAGGCATGTGCTCTACCACTAAGCCAGAGCTCCAGCCCTTATCATTTCTTTCATGGTGAAAACTATTAAAATTATTATTATTATAACTTTTAAAATGTACAGCACATTATTGTGTGCTATAGTCTTCCCACTGTACAATAGCACACCAAAATTTTATACTCCCATCAAACTGTCATTTTGTACACATTGATCAGACTTTTGCCATCTCTCCACTACATTCTCCCTACCTTTTGGAAACATCATTGTACTCTCAATTTTTAAGATTCTCTATATGTATGATATGCAATACTTGTCTTTCTGGGCCTGTTTTATTTAACTTGACATATAGACCTCCAGATCCATCCATGTTTTTGCAAATGTCAGGATTTCATTTCTGTTTTTTCATTCCACTAAGTTTTAGGCTCTTGCATTTAAAAAAATTCAAATATTTTTTATCAGTGCCTTATACATTGTAGTGGAGTTTATTGTGACATATTCATACATGCATGAAATGTAATTTGCTCCATTTCAATCCCCATTACTCCACATTCCATTGCCTCCCCTTCCCCCACCTTGAAACCCTCCTCCTTCACATTTTCTTAATGAATACATATGTATATATATGAATATATATTATATTTATACATTCATTCATCTATGAAGACCTAGCTTGTTTCCACTTCTTAGCTATTATGAATATGGCTGCAATGAACATGAGCACGCAGGTATCTTTTTCCACACTGATTTCATGCGCTTTGGGTATATTCTCAGTAGTAGAATTGCTGGATCATATGGCTTCTCTTTTCAATTTTTTAAAAATGTTTTTATTAGTGCATTATACTTACATATAATAGTGGAATTCATTTTCACACAACCATAGATGCATAGAAAATAATTTGCTCCTCTTCAGTCCCTACTACCTCCTCTTTGCTTTCTTTCCACTGTCCCATATTCCCCTTCCTTTGTTCTCCTGGTCTTTCTTTGATTAATTTATTGTTTTTAATGGATGTTTTATAGATATACATAAAGGAAAACTCTACAGTGTTGTATTTAAATTTATTTTTTTGGTTTACTGAGGATTGAACCCAGAACTGTTTAAACACTGAGCCACATTTCCAGCCCTTTTTAAAATATTTTATTAAGAGACAGAGTCTCACTGAGTTGGCTTTGGACCTTCAATCCTCTTTCTTCAGCTTCCCGAGTTTCTGGGATTACAGGGGAGTGCCACCATGCTCAGCCACTGTGTTGTATTCAAATACATACATAGAATAATGTCGTCCATTTTATTCCACATTCTCTTACTTTTACTCTCTTTTCCTTCCCCTTCTATTCTTTTATACTACTCCACTCTCTTGCCTTTTATTTTCAAGTTACTGCCCTCCACCTATTTTTTTCTCTTATTTTGCTCTAGCTTCTGTATGTGAAGGAAAATATTCAATCTTTGACTTTATGAGTCTAACTTATTTTACTTAGTGTTATGTTCTCCAGTTCAATTCATTTCCTAGCAAATGCCATAATCTCATTCTTCTTCATGGTTGAGTAAAACCCATTGTGTATGTATGCCATATCCTATTTATTTATTTATTAATGTTTATCTGTTCTGGGCCCATAACTTGTTATTATTCATGAGTGGCACTGCTATAAATATTGATGTTCTTGTATCACTACACTGATACAAGATACAATGGCCTAATTTTATTTATTTATTTATTTATTTGTTTGTTTGTTTATTTATTCATTTATTTATTTTTCATGTCTGACAAGGAACAGGATAGCTGGGTCATAGGGTTGATCCATTCCTGGACTTTAGAGAAATCTATAAACTACATTCCAAAGTGGTTGTACTAGTCTTCGGTATCACCAAAAATGTTTGAGTGTACCATTCTTGCCAGCATTTATTATTCTTTGCATTCTCAATGATTTACATTCTAAATTGAGTGAGATAAAATCTCAGTATTGCTTTGAGGTCCATTTCCGTGATTTCTGGAAATATTGAGTATTTTTTCATTTATTTGTTGGCTTTTTATATTTCTTCTTTTGAGAAATATCTATTTAGTACTTCTTCCCACTTGTTGACTGGGGTTTTTCCTTTTTGTTAAGTATTTTGAGTTCTTTACATATTCTGGGCATTAATCCCTCTATGAGGAGTAGCTGGCAAAGATTTCTCTCCCATTCTGTAGGCTTTCTTTTCATACACTTAATTATTCCCTTTATTGTGCATAAGATTTCTAATTTGATGCCATCCCATTTATTGATCTTGGATTTGTTTTTTGAGCTTTAGGCGTTTTGCTAAGGAAGTTGCTGCCTGCTCCAATATATTGGAGTGGTGACTTTATGTTTTCCTCCAACAGTTGAAGTTCCTGGTCTAATTCCTAGGCATCAGATCCACTTTGAGTTGGCTTTTGTCAGTGTGAAAAGTAAGCATCTACTTTCATTCTTGTACATATGAATATCCAGTTTTCATAAGCACCATTTGTTAAAAAGATCATCATTTCTCCAACCTATGTTTTTAGCACCTTTTTGAGTATCAAATGACTATACATCTGCGGTTTTGTATTTATATCTTCTATTCTGTTCTATTCATGTTTTAGTTAGTTTTTTTGCTGCTGTGACTAAAAGACCTGAAAAGAACAATTGTAGAAGAGAGAAAGTTTGTTTAGGGCTCATAGTTTCAGAGGTCTCAATCCCTAGACAGCAAAGTCCAGTCCTCAGGGCTCCATGTGAGGCAGAATATCATGGTGGAAGAGTATGATGGAGGAAAGCATATCACATGATAATCAGTAAGCAGAGAAAGACTCCACTTGCCAGGCAAAATATATACCCCAAAGGCATACCCCCAATGACTCACCTCCTCAAGCCACATTCTACCGGTTTCAGTTTTCATTCATTTAGTCCCATCAGGGGATTTATCCACTAATTGAGATAGGGCTCTCATAACTTAATCATTTCTCCTCTACACATGCTTACATTGTCTTACACATGAGCTTTTGGATGACAACTAATATTTAAACCATAACATTCCACACCTGACCCCCAAAAGCTCATATTCATCTCATTATGGAAAATACATTTAGTCCATTTCCAAGAGTTCCCATAGGCTGAACAGTTCAAGCTGCCCAAAAGTTTATATATTAAAAAAATCTCCTCTGAGACTCAGGGTTAAGCTCATATCATGAGCTCCTGTAAACAAATCAAAAGCAATGTACATGCATCCAAAATATAAATGTACAGGGAGTTCAGCAAGTCTGAAATCCAGCTGGGCAAACAAGTCATGTAGTTCCACATCTGGCATCTGGGGCACATAGCATGATGTTCTGTCCAAAGGGCTTGTTTAACTCCAATCTGTGGCCTTGTTGATTGTAGCCCATGTGGCCTATCTGTTGGTTTGACTCACCTCGGTTGCTGCAGCCTTTCTCAATGGATATTCCATGGTACTGGAATTTCTTATTCTTGATGGTCTCCACTGCAGCTTTTGCTTCTTCCTCACATTCTGTATGCATTGCCCTCCTTGCTTGCAGGAACTATGATGCTGGTGCACTTTTTCTGGACTCCCACACCTTCATTTGAAATCTCGATGAAGCCTTCCCTGACCTCCAGACTCCACCATGTAACATTCCTGCAGAACTAAGTGGTTGACAGCAAGGTCTGCCACCATGTTGAACATTAGCCAAGCCTCCAGGGACCCTGGTTGCGGCAGCCTCTGAGTGCCTGGGTATATTACTCTGTTAAAAAAACTCCTAGGTCCCCTTCTGCAAGAAGGGGTCCCCACTGGTCTCTTCTCAAGAGAAGTTTTACTTTGACTTTCTTGAGTCTGAGATGGATATGATCTTGCCATTTTCTGT